AGCTCGGTTCGAGGCTCTCGGCGGAAAATGAGGGTCTGAACACCCAATACGGTTCCCTGAGCATCCGAAAGCTGAATTCTAATATCTTGTCTCATCCGCGCGATCACAAAACGTTGGCCGGGCAAGTCTGTTCGAGAACGTCATCTTGGGGTCAGTAGCCTCACTGGCCTTGCTCGTCGGGCGACCGGGCCTCCCGAGCAATGTGACTCGGGCCACGTGGTTTCTGTTCTCTGGTCGTATTTCCAATCTCCCCGTTTGAATCCAGGGATTTCTTGCAAGCGGATGCTGCATATTGAATTTTGCTTCTTCTCTGCAGCGGTATTCATGCGCTGCGAATACCTCTTTTCGCTCAGAAATAGGAACCAATGAGCAAGAAGATCCGTCGTACGGGTCAACGTTTTTCCAAGGGAAAGAGGAAGAGGTCGTTGACTCCAACCGAGTGTCGCTGCCGCCGGGATGATATCCCAAGGTTACAGGCCAAACTGGACAGCTGAAGAGGAGCAATGTCAGAATCCGAATATTGGTTGAACTTCGAGGACTCCTAATTTGGCAGACTAATGCCTGGTCGATGTGCGTAGGGGGAAGCGCGTGCCTGATCCCTCGATCTCCGAGCTAAGGTTTATTCCGATCCAGACCTGAGTCGCTGACCGTGCTTCATGGATGTGCAGCTTTGGACGAAATCATAGACTTGCGGGAAAGCGAGAACGTTAAATCTCGGCTCGCTCATCCCTCTGAGTGGTCATGATTCTCAAGTATTTTCCATGTAGGTAATACATACGATTGCGCGCGTAATGAAAACTTAGATTCGAACCCTCCTGCTCTCCACAGCACAGGGGCTGGATCCTCCGAATTCCCACCACACGCGAATTTAAATCGGATCCACACGACAACGTCGTGCGCAGGATATCGATCGGATCGTAACTGGCTGGCACGATCCCATCGCATCCGCAAGACTCGTGGGGTTTCACCAAGTAGGGGAGCTAACTTCCGTCATTTTCCGAGGGCTTTTGAGTATTTCTCGCGAACATCTGACGCCTGGTCTGCCAATATTCCAGGGATCGTTTCCGAGACAGATTGACTGTTTCGACTTTTCCTGTCGGTGAAAAGGACTCGCTCCTCGTCTCTCTGTTGCGAGAAGGCTTTTGAATTAGGGTTAGAGTTGAATTCGGGCGCACGAGCTGCTTCCCGTGTTTTTTTTTCTCGAGAGGAGCTATCCATTCCCTCTCCCAATTCACGGAGTGACCCCAATGCCCTGTCATTTCATGTATCTAGAGGTGACTCCTGGACTTAAAATCAATTCCTGATTCACGGTGCTCTCGGATGGGAGCCGCTTTTAGATTGGGGGCGGTCAATTCTGCGGTCAGCGCTGGCGGACACTCCGACCGACAGACGGTTACGTAGCTCTCCCGAATACCTAGGATGCATAGGTGGCGTTGCCGCCCGAAAAGTCTGTCCAAAGATGGGATACAATAATCGAGGTTCTAGCCGATCTGAGGAGCGTCGGGCTCGAGAGCTGAGGGACTTGCAACTTGGTCATCCCTACCTAGATATACCGCATCCTACCGCATCCGGAGTGGCAGCATCATTCGGTGAATATCTGTCGCTGGAAGGGAGCTTATGAGCTTCCCGCGCCTAAAAGAGGCCAGTGCACGTAGCTGCTGCTTCGATGACTCAGAGATCACGCTCGCGAGAATTGTGACTGAAAACAAGAGCAACGATGAGATCAAAACCAGTCATAATGGGCCGGCACCGTGACTCGCACTTCGAGTACCGATATTGTCTCTGCTTATCATTGCCCTTGACAATCACTTCGCAGAAGGCGGTCTGTGCCTCTCCACTGCGCTACACCGATCGCTCGAGTGGCGATCCAAAGCTCGCATTCCACCAGCCTCGATGGTGGGAACCGAATTCGGTATACCGTTGATTGAGTCTCCGCATTCACGTTTCGATGACGAGCACAAATCACGTTCCCCCTCAGAGATCAAGATCACGGAGTAACCTCGAATATACCAATCAAAATGAAACCATCACATTGAGGGATTGTCCTCTCAGAGCCATTTCAGTGGACAATCAGGCTTTCCGAAGTCTCATCAATTACCCACATGTCTATACATATGCTAGCCCAGTCCGAGTGATCCGACGGAGGAAGGCGGAGCGGACACGGGAACGTCATGGTGGAAGCTTCCGCCGAAAACAACTGTATCGAAGGTCAGAATGACCGTGGAATCACTCCTCCCCAGCGCGGCGGGAGTGCGGGAGCTAAGGTCGATGTCATAAATCGTATCTGACGAGGGGAAACGGTTTTGATCCTCAGAGGCGGACTAGACTGCCTCAAATGCTTATCTTAGAGTGACGACGGCGTCAGTGCGCTCTCATTGACTCGAGCCAACTCGGAGAACTGATGGTTTCATCAGAAATCACGTTCCAAGACTAGGCTCGATTCGCGTAATCAACCTCGACGCGACTGACCGGAAAACAGCTGGAACAAGAGAAAATGACGAATCCCATCGTACCTTGAGCTCTATGTCGTAGAACAATGATCCACGATCGATTCTCGTCATGTAACGGTTACCCCTACCCGAGCACTAGCCTTTGCTGGTTAAAGAGCGGCCTGATACGATTTCCGTTCCAAGCAGTCTTCGGAAGCGCCAACGAAATGGCACGATCTCTCTTGCATAACAACGAGTACACTGCCCAGATCTGATCCCACACAAACACAATGTAGGTCGACTTAGGTCATCAGAATCGAGTTCTTCGGGGTAGGCTGGAGCTCCGAGTCTCGATTGGCCCGGTTCCCGCGGCGAGGGGAGGAATCTGATAATGAGAGGTGGAATTGATACCGATTCCGCTTGTGTTTAGCGGATCGCGACCCGAATGCGGCTGTGAATTCCTCTGCAGACTCCATCCCTGCGTAAGACCAGCAGCGAAGAACTCCGCTTCCGGGTTTGAAGTAGAGTACTGGAGGGAGCTGGTCGCTCGCAGGCTCAGGTCATCAGCCTCGTCACAGTGGAGAAGAGAGTGAATGTGGGACACCGGAACCCCTCGCTCGCGGGGATCGTCGGCATATTTTACAAATCTGACCGGTATTCGTTCACACGGTTTTGTTCCACAAAAATTACAGAGCCAACTGTCGGATATTTGTACGAGACTTCATCCGATATGATTCGGAAGCTCCAAGTCACAATTCGCACGAACGTTGTTGACTGCTTAAAGTAGTTCGTCGCGGGTGCACTTGCCGAGTGGACTGCCTGATATCGGATAAGAATGTTGCCGAAGTCGTAGCACCGTCGGCGAGTTGAGAGACAAAGTCCCCCCTGGACTTTACACGACCCGCGGATGTTCCAAGTTCATTGAGATACGACCGGCATCTCCAACAGGATATCACAGAGGAATTCGGGCAACTATAGGAAAAATGTTGTGACCCGGGCGAGACCACGCATTTATAGGGGAGCTCCGGCGTACTCCCAACTATATTGCACTCTCATCTTGCTTCGCGAGATCGGCCCTCCTCATCATTACACCTCAATGAAAACCGCAAGGGGCTCGGAAAATTCTCTCCGGCGATCGAAACTCGAGTCTCAGGAGCCTGTAGGCCGCTTCCGGCGTCGTTACCCTAGACAGACGATTGCGAGCTCCACAACGCGGAAGCATCTCTTATTCTGGGTCAGCAGTGGACGGAATCTCTTCCTGCTCGAATCGATTCTCGTCTGAGGAGAACACAGCAAACGCCAACGGCAATCGCGTCCTCAGCGAGTCACCACGCAGGGGACCTCTTGTGGAATGCGTCACTCGAATTCCACTGATTCCACGACTTATTGTTGCGTAGATTATGACTTAAGAGCCACTATGACTCATTCCGATCAGGGCGACAGACTCTCTACCTATTCTCTATTCCTGAATCTTCCTGTTCCTGTCGTCCGAGATCCTCTCATCCGGGACAATGTACTTCCTCAGATCTTCCAGAGAGTCTAAAGCAGTTGCAGCGCTATATATGTAGTGACATGTAAACAACGGTGGCCTTCAATGGCCACCTCGCTCCAAATACGACGACCGAAGAGCGCTGTGGCCTCGATGATGTTTACCGTGAGACTGAACGGAGGTTGGCTTGCTTTATCGGCTGGCCTTTCGCTTGTCAGCTAGCTCGCCTGCCTGTTATTACGCCGGTCAGGTCTTGGCAGAACTGACCTTGTGAGTTTTGCTCACACGACCTCGTTTTCACGTATACTATTATATAAGGGGAAGTGTCGAATATGGGCCTCCTGATGTCCTGGAATCTCCCGTGCAGATGCCTGAATGTGATTCCAGGACTGATATTTCTATACGATTCGGCCGCTGATCCCAACGTGAACAGAACAGGTTTCTCGCCGACCGAGGAGCTCATGCTCACTGCAGAGATAGTTCTCCAGCTAGCGCCCTCATCAGAGGTGGGCCCTCCCAAATAATTCGAGTATGAAACCACGTGTGCATTTCTCCATCTCAGAAGTTACCGGGATGAGGCACGGCACTCTCAGCGAATTCGGCAATCGAGGAGACTCGATATTGCACGGATTCTAGGAATGTGTTTCCTCTGAAATTCCCCGAGCGCAGGGTTTTCCCAAGCGTAGACCGAAAACGTCACGTTTAAACAAATCTGTCTCACGTCAGTGAGAAAATCGGCGCGTGGCGATAGAGCGCTTTCTCCGCGGATCTTGAGCCGTATCGCTCTCAAGTGTCAAGCAACTGTCGGGATTCTCGCAGAATCTGAGCGCTGCTGATATCGAGACCTTATCGATTTACGGTTTCTCTGTGCATATAATCTGATCTATTGAAGTTGTTCTGTCCTCAATCGTCAGTCGGATGATACATCCGCCTGTGTCTTCCGAGCCTCTCACCTACGACAAGCAAACGGTGAACGCTCAGCAGCAGACATTCAGACATCTGAGCGAGAGTCGTGCCCTTTCCCGTTCGTTCACCCGCTCGCTCCGTAAGATATAGGCACCGACTTCCCCTCGACCAAGTTCAATTCGCCGTCGTTCGCAGGCGCTCGGTCTCGCACGTCCGCTCTATAATTTTGTGCTCTCAAGTCAACTAGAACTCCAACGATTAGAGTTTCGCTCGAACGTAGAGGAAGTTCTGCCAAGTGGAAGTTCTATATAAACACTCAAGCCACATCTACAGTCGGATACTCTCACATTGTGTTCAACCAGTCAAACGACTCGTATTTGACCATTTCTCGGTAAGTGATGTGTTCACCGCGCTTGTAATTCCATGGTCTCAGTCGGTTCCAATCTCGCGTCTGCAGCGAGATGTGCTCCTCCGAAAAGTCACCGGGTTCATTTTCCGGGCTGAATGTCCCGGAAGCATCGCACCTGCTTTAAACTCCAGAAGCCCATTTCGGAGCTGTCAGCCTGTCGGAATTATCCATGCTTTCGGCGTCAACTTTCCAATGAACTGAGACGGGCTCCGAGCCTCGCGAACGCTCTCGTCCAGATCCGAACTCTTGCTCGATTCGTCCGACTTCCTCATCGGCCCATTTGGCGCAACAAGTCGTCCCCTTATGAATCGACCGACGTCTCACCCGTGCTCTTGGTGTATCAAACTTTGAGCGCGGTGGAAGGAGGATAGAATCCGCCGCATTGGGGGCATGATGCCTCGGCTAGCGATGTGAAAATAAATTCTTACGATGGTCTCGATACTCTACTTGCGAAGGCCGATTCTCATGTAGGTAACTGAGTTCAGGGGGAATAGTCCGATCGAGACTCGTAAGCACCTGCTCTATCAGTGGGATGGGATACTGTAAACTATACTAAGCGAGTAGCACCGATGCAAGAAAACTTTCGGATGGAACAAGGTTTGAGGAATCGACCGGAAGCCTGTATTTCCCACGAGCTCCGAGGGGAACTTATGCTCGTGAGCATATGCCGTGAATCTATTCCTGTTCCATTGAGCTCACAGGGGACTACGGAAGAGGCGGGAGCGGCAGCTCGCAAAAAATGAGGTACTCCTGAGGATCCTTCTTGCGCGACGCTTTCACGAAGAGCTACGAATCTCTACGGTACTTGGCTTAAAATCCGAGTCCTTCGGTGTGATTTGAATTCACGCCCGGAATGACCTGGGTGCGTGGAATCGAATTCTTCCTGTCGCTTTGACCCACATTCTTGGAGGAGCCTAACGAGGTCAGCCGCTTTGCAATTCGGCGCTTGCTTTTACCAACGAGACACTGGTAGCGCAACAGCGACGGCCTCAGCATTGTGGTAACTGTGTCAAAGCGGAGCGCACGGTCATGGACCCCTTTGTGGGTCAGGTCATCGGGCTAGCCAGCCAGCAAGCTGGCCGACACGCGAGCTGAGTCGGCCTGATGACGTCGAATTTCTGGGTCGCCTGGAATAGACCCCAAGCTAGGGAGGAAGCTAGGTAAATAGATAGGCATACCGAAAGCGAGGAAGCTCAAAAGTTTCACGCAATATTCGAGCAGTCAATCTAACGCGCTCTATCTTTCCAGGTAATGCTGTCCGATAAGCTCAAGTGCGAAAGCGCTACGCAAGCGAACATGTGCCCCAAATCCAACATTCGAGCTTTCGAAGCTAGCCTCAGCGAATTCAGCTCGGATATTCTAATCGTGAAACAGAACCGCAAAAATCTGAAAAGTCCGACTCACTTCTGCAAAATGTGCGGCTATGGAGACTTTTCGTCAACTCGAGTTCGTCGTCATCTTCTCCTCCGGCACCACTCGCTCGTGACGAAGGTCATTCCGGAGAAGACCTCGATCCTCGCAGATTGTCTCTTGGCGAACACTCACCCAAGCAGCCACGGACACTCTGACAGCGAACCCGAATCCCCATTATCCGCGAAAATCTGCGATGATCTACCTGAAGATCTCTCGGTTCACTCAGACGTTTCCGTTTCGGACAACGATGAGAACATCCAGGTCGTACCCCAATTGAAACCCACGATGAAAGTTAAGGAAATTACGAAATCGGTCACCGTCCGGACGCCGAAGAAAACGGCGTGCAAGAGGAGCGCTCCATCCACTCAGGCCAACTCGATACTCAAGCGTCGCTTGCTTGGCGAACATGTAGTCGAAGAAATTGAAGCCGGCGAAGCCGCTTTGAATGCGAGTGAGCTCAACGTGAAGATGGTCTACCACAACTCGAAGTTCGTCATCGACTCTTCGGAGGCTTTCTGGCTCCAGGGCTATAAACTACCTCCTCGATACGAACTCGCACAACAACATCATTGACGGCAGCGAGCGCCACAATTCTGCTGAAACCACAGCTGTTTACGAACAGCATGCGATCTCAAGATAGAATGGAATCTAGTGTCGCGGGGCTGAGGGCGACCTCGATCCGGATTTGCCGGTGGTACGGTCCTTCGCAACTCGACAAACTCGCAGGTCAACGAAGTTCCTGGAGCGAGAGGTTCACGAGGGAAGATGCCAAGCTTTACGCGGATCATTCATGAACTAATTTATTTTTCTCCGGCATTCGGTTTGTCCCGAATCGTCGCATAGTGTACACTTTCTGTGATAAGGGTGGTACTCACGTGACCAACCACTTGACTGTTCCTGTGGACGAGCGATGACCACTCGTCAAAAAACTCCTCGGAGCTGGACGTCGCGCCCAGGACATCCTGTACATGCAAGAAGATCCGCAAATCGAAGCGAATCTCGCTATTACGCCTCTTCAACCATCGGGCGAATATGAAAAAGTTTGGTCATGCTTCGGAACCTCGAGAATCAGACAACGTGTCGACACAGATCCATGGAAAATAATTTTGTACCTAATATATACGGCAAATATACCTATATAAATATAATTATATTCTGAGAATTAATGAAGGTCGATTATTTATCACAACACTCCTTCGGTTTCGTCATTTAGTTTAGCGAATTAGGGAATTTCTTCCAATGAAATCGCGGGGAAAATTGCTCAGATATCGGATGCGCAAAATTTTCCCTTGACGCTGAAGCATCGGCGAACGGTTGGATTCGAGATCTTCGGCTGATGACCAACATTCGTGACCCACTTCTGAAGGCGGAAGAAGCAGAGGGTTCGTTGCTTGTTGTCGGTTCCGCTCCCGGGCCGCTCAGATCTTGACGTCAGAATTTGCACTGCGGAAATAAAGCTACGGTCGTCACGTTCCATTGAGAATCGCTCCGGAAGCGGGGCAAGGGTGGCCGGTGTGTGAATCGGCTTCACCGGTTCGCCACTTACAAAACTATTCTCAGAGGCTTTGGTCGCCATAGCCAGCTGTGGGACCGCGTGAGCTTTATGACTGTCTGAGGCGGGTATGCAAACAACGGCTTGCGGACAACCCTAAAAATTTCGGAGAGATGATGTCACAGTTCTGGCTGCATCACACCAACGAATGTACTCGATTTTTCTGAGAATCGTCACAGGCATTCCGGAGCTCCTTCCCGGCTCGCAAGCGAGAACGTTCAGTCGGCCCGTGATTTGTCGGTGTGCTTCATTTCCCGATGCGAACGCGCCTGACCGATGATCAACAATGATCATTCTTGAGTCTCGATGCCCTCGGCCCAGCCCATGGAAGAGTTTCTGAAGGTCAACCCATCCCAGACTATCGTGCTCAACATTATATCATTCTCTACGGATCGCGCCGCAAATATTACCTCTAGCGGTAATCTCGCTGTTATCGCTGTCTCGAGGTCGCGGTGGGCTGTTCGTTTCCTGTGTCGGGAATAAAATCAAGCCCATATGCAGTTCATGAGGGAGCCATGAGAATTTTCGGAGTCTACCGCCATAATTTTCTATTGGTCCGACCTATCGTTAGAGACATGGTCCCGGCGTTGCGAATCAACTATCGTCGTGTCATCGCTCGATGATTCGTCCAGTTTCTGGGAATAGCGGCCACTAGTTTGATCACGTCATGTCTGGTGTTGTTTATCTTGGAACGGTATTCAGGTGCGCAAACGGAATCGTTCCAGACAGCTCGTTACAAACACAGATGGTTAAAGTTCCGAAGCGGATTGTTATTTGTCTGACCGAGCTGGATTATGGACATCTCTACCACATTATGCGTCTCGTTTTTCGAGACAGCCGTGATACGCACTCCCGAGGAGCTTTCGACTCTCAATTAGCCGGAGGTGTCCTGAACGTGGACGATGCCCTTGAGCCGGAATCGGCCTGAGATATCTTCGCACGACGCTCCCAGGACATTCGGGCTCAGATGATCAGCTGGGATCGAATTCTTCGAAGCGTCTCAGCAGGGCAAAAGCCCAGACCGCAAAGCGCTTGAGAGTCCCGGATCCCCGCCGAATCCCGATCCGCCGCCCGTTTACCAAGGAGGAAACACAGCCGAGTCTCAGGCCGAGACCCGACGAGGAGTGTGCTCAGGAAAGTTCCCCTACGAGGCTTGATATTCGGCCCCGACAGGGGAGAGACTTCCATTACTCTTGTCTAGCGATTTTCGTCGGGCTCGAGACTCGAGCGCTGTCATGAGATCTTCGACCAGCTCCTCTGAGAGGGACGTTTGCTCTGGTTCGAATGGGAGGGTAGGTACAGGTTCAGGACCTTAACATGTTTTTCTCTTACCGCAAAATCCTTTGACACGACCAGGGAACGCTTCGGAATCCATCTCGACGCAGACAAATCTGCACTCACCGCTCACGACCGCCCCACCACATAAGCGGGCATTGTCGGAGTAGATTCTTATTGATGCAAAAACAACCATATACCTCGAATATTCGAGTCGAAGGTTTGACTCCCGAATTTGACTTCGGAGCCCTCTATTATCGCGTCCTCCGAATGAATCAAGAACATCGCGGAGAGGTTAATGTGTTTGTTCGCGTCGTCGTTGTATGTCCTCGGGTTCTATCGAGTGTCTTTTGTGGGAGGCATCGTAAGGCTTGGCGTTGGACGATGTCGCGGACCTATGACCCAGGAACGACTCGGCCCGGGTCCATTCTCCGGTGTGCGGTATCGCCATCGACCGGTACTCGAGGCAGAGCCGGGACGCGAAAATTTCTTCATCGTCCTCAACGAAATGTCTGCTCGGGAATTCTCCTGTCGCGTTGCGAGTCACCCCAAGCATTTTCGATGAGACCCTCTCAGAGAATCGGCCCCATAGATTCCTTCGACGCGATCGTTTCTGGAATCGGGGGGAACTCGCCTTGAAACCCAGGCCAGGCGTACAAAACTCGAGGAGAGGCGTCGAACTCAAGAAGCTTATTTTCTCACTACAACCGAAGAATCTGCGCCGATCGATTCTCTGAGCGAGAATTCGCGACAAATATTTAGCTGACGAAAGCGAATCCTTTCATCGCATCCCCCTCTCCATCGTCGAGGATGCTTCCGCACGAGGTACGAGGTATTGCTCGCAAGAACTTATTTGTTTATTGCTCGCGGTACATGAGTCGTTCGTTGGGGGTTATTTTCGGACTGCTCTGCATTTTCGTCAGACGCTGTCGGGGTACTGGAGATGATTGAGGCGTCCGCATCGCGAGTTCGCGAAGCTTCCCTTATGGTGTTTTTTTCCACTCCTGGGAAAATGTTTGTAGGTGAAGGATATCAGATCAAATACGTCATCAAAACTCCTCCGTAAACAATATGACATTCAATCCCTTCGAATGGGCTTTCGGCGTGTGTCGTCCTTCCCACGGCGCAGGAGACTATAACCAAGGTCAAGTGTGACGTGGACTCCCGACTCGCTCCGACTGACGTCATGAAAAAATCAGGACCGATTGGGGGAGAGTAAGCAGAGGGATCAGCATCGACGATTCCTCGGAAACTACAGGCTGGATCTCCAACATTAGCAGCGGGTGTTCAACGACGACAAGGCATTCCATCGTATCGGTATCGGGAGCTTGTTTCCATTGGCATCTGATCGAACATCTAAATCTTACACTTCCAGAAAATCGACGGGAAGATTCCTATAGAAGGAGGAGGGACGCGGAAAATTCAGAGGCTCATCGGCCGGAGTTTACGCTTCATGAGGGGGTAGCGCGAGAGAGGAATTGAGCGAAATAATGAGGAGCCGAATCGACGTCCTTCGTTCGGTTACCTTTCCGGACACGCCCAAGTTTTTGTGCGAAGCTCCTAAGACCGCAACTCATTCGTTCTGATCTCGATTTTCGGGATATTCCCGCGGAATTGCTCGGACGGGTGCTTCTGAGGTGGGTGTCGAAGAACGGCTTTACATAGGGCAGCGAGACGAAGTGTCCGCGGACAGTATCCGTCGGAACGGGCTGCGGCTCTCACTAAGACCGAGTGGTAAGCCTCCCTCGCTAACGAGCTCGAGATATCCTCATGGCTCGTGATCATGACCCCTCTCAGTCGATCGGGAGGGAAGTACAGAGACGATCTTGCCTCGTTCAGAGTCGATGTTGCAGCTGCTTCATTAGATCAAAACGGATAAAACGCGTGCCCGAACGTTTAGAGCTCGCATCCAGAGGTGAACACGTTCACCCACGCTCTGTGTCCGGGGCGAAGCAAGGGACTACCTGTCGTAGACGGAACCTTTGCACGCCCTTCTGCGTACACGCTCCTGGAGGAGGCTTCCTGTGAATATTCAGACGGTCCAAGAGGCAATGGAGTTCTCGACTGAATCTCTAAGTCTCTTTATTTGGGAATAGCCCGCAACGTCTTCACCAACTTTTTGTCGATTTTCAGCTCATGAGTCAACCACAGCAGCGTCGTGAAAAGAGTCAGCGCTCCGGCCTGATGAGTCGCAGCTAAATGAGTGGGCACGTAATTCAATAGAGTCGTGATGCCCAGGGCGACTTGCATCCATGCTGCTGCTAGCACGACGTTCGCAGCGAACCTCGCTCGAGGGGGCATCGGTACTTTCCTTGAGTACAGGTAGAGGGCGGTGATCGCGCAAAAGACTGATTCACCCTGGAAGACAAGACTGATGAGAACGGGTCCCATCAGCTTCAGGAGAGTTGCCAAGCGAAAAATCATGGAATATCGTCCCGTCCGACCTACCAGGATCCTGTGGTCGAACTGAACAGTCGTGGGGTTCTCGAAGAAGTTCCGCCACTTGGGATCGAAGGCCAGGACATCCGTTGGGATCCATCGATCGGCCATTTTGGGGAAAGAGTTGTAGACAAGGCCTTTGAAGAACGAAAAATTTGGTGAAACTAGGAAGATTTTTTAAAATTCAATTTCGTCGCGTCCCGACCCCTTTCAGTATCATAGGGCGAGATTGGCTTCGAGAACAAGTGCGTACCTGCTTCGATTCCGGCCACCAGGGCTCCGCTCAACACGGTGAAGAAGACGAGACCCTTGCTCATGTGTCCGAAAACGATGAGCTTCCGTAAAGCCTGGGTCGGAGCGAGCTGTGGAACGAGTCCTTGACGTTATTGGAGCTCGAAAGTTATGAGTTCCGAGTGTCAGTCTCATCCATCGCGCTGATCGACGACTCACCTGTTGAGGGGGCAGCAGGAGCTGCAACCCGCTCCGGAAGAGAAAAGCGTAGAGGACGAAGGCCGTACCCAGATGAGCCGCTAATCTCAAATTGGAGACTCTTGGTGTTGTATCGTATCCTTGCTTCTCCTCCAGACCACTCTTGACCATGTACCATCCCATCAAGCCCTGCGAGAAGTGATGGTTCGTTCGTATTGGGAAGCCTCAACCGCTGACGAGAAATTATGATTTCCCCATTCGACCCGAGCTCAGTCAATCCAGTCCAGGATCCTGACCTGTCCGGCCAGGAGACCGCCCATCAACACGACTCGTTGTTTCATGCCTCCTCTCAGGTAACCCAAAGCCCAAAATGCAGCGGCGGGGATGAAGTAAACAGCTCCGATTGTGCGTCCCCACATCCGGTGAATATATTCCATCCAATATATGGACTGAAACGAGAAGAAATCTCGCTATCAATTACGCGAAGCGATTCATTCGACAATTGCGGGAGCAGCCCCGATCGGAGAGCGCATATGAGCCCTGAGCAGAAATATGGGTCCCGACCTTGAATTGTTCCAGGGTCATGTCTCTATTGGTGATCTTAAACTCTGGGAACTGTTGATATTTCTCGAACTCTCTCTGCCAGTCTTGCTCCGTTCTCGGACGTCCTTCATCGAAAGGGTGCCAATCCACCATGGAGAGACCCGATTTCGTTAATCTGGAATCGTAACTCTCATCTTAAGCATCGCGAAGACTGCGAGATCAGAAGCGCAGCCTGTAAACGCGAGTGGATCTCACCTGGTGATGCCTCCCAGGACGACAGCTCCGAAGGCCATTCCGCTGCAGGTCAGGAGCCAGCCCCCGACCAATTTGTCTTTGCCAGACACCAGCTTCAGCGACGGAGCAGCACCATTTGTGACTGTGAAGCGTGCCGATAGTTTCTGGCTGAACGGTTTCCTCAAGAAGCGAGCGGCACTTATCTTCAATGAGGATCAGGTTGGTGAGTATTTCGTCGATTCGAATCGACCAAAATGTCATATGCAGTGATAAAGTCGCCCCATTCCGAGACGCTCGAATGGAACCTCAGCTGAGGAGGCTAGAATAAGATCTCAAGCCCACAAGACACTCACCCGAGTCTGCCGCAGACACAATCTTGTCATGGTGAAAGGAATCATGTTTCGCGCAACGAGTAAAACCGACCAAGAAATTATCCAAAGAGAGTCTAGTCGCGCGGTACTAACTCGGAATCCTGAATCAGGCGACCCTCCGTCGGTTTGGACTCCGCGGAACGACCGTATCGTCCTGAGGCCCGGCTCCGGCTCTTAAGACATCTGCCGGACTCTGGAAACTGACCGAAATGAAGCTGAAATGCGAGAGAACTCGCAGGAACAGCGGCGTCGCCGTAGACGGCTCCAGTGGTGTCGGAGTGGGAACGCTCAGCTCCATTAAGTCTCGGAACAGATCCGAGCAGCACGGTTACTCATCGGAGTTGTGAGAAGACTTCGCAGATATCGCTATTCCCTTATCGTTCACTCGATGCTGGATCCGATGTCACAGCGACTGATGATGATATATTTCAAAACTACAATCAGCAAAGGAGAGATCGGGAGTGCACCTTGAAGAGCCTGTCATCACTGCCACAATCGTGACCAGAGCCATCGGCGGATGACAGGAATTCTCCTCGACCAGCCTTTCGATACGCTTCGGAGTGAGCCCGTGTCAAGTTGCGACGGACCGATAGAGTACATATTGCTCAGAATCGGGCCGATCGAGTGGGTCGCCCCGCGAAGAACGTCTTTCCCCAAGAAGCAAGCTCTGTCCCCCGTAATTTTCCAACTGTAAAGAGGTGGGGCCTGGACACAATTCGCAGCATCTTGAGATCATATGATCAGTAAAGACCGTGAGCCCTGTCAAATCAGAAGCATCGTCGAATCCGAAGCATCGACCTCGGAATCTTCCGCTTCATGAGGAGCAACCCGTGTACTCGACGCATCTCGAGACTCTTTCTTACGCCGGAATCGCGGTGATCGGACCAATGGCACTTCATCTCCGCGTTCTATAGCAAGTTCTCAACAACTGTTCAAGTGCCATGGAGGAGTTCTCTCAGGACCTGAGCGTCGCACTGGAAGAGGCTAATCAACAGGATTCAGATTCGTGTACTGAACAGGTAACTTCCGGAAAAGCTCGCGCCGCACCGTACGTCCGTCCCAAGGGTCCTCGGACTTCTAATTTCTAATAGATCAGAAAGTTGATGATTCCTTCTCATGTCCATCTGTTCGGATCAGGTCATGCAAAAACCGAGACGACCGCGCCGTCGGAGACCTCGGAAAGACATCAACGTCGCCAGTCCGGTCAGTAGATCCGAGGGTGGCAGTCCGGAACGACCTCGGAGAGCAAAGAGACCTCCCCGGATGCAGGTAAGAGAACCTTCACCTAAATGTCCGCACATAGCCTTCAACAGTCGGAAGATTTTTCCATGAGTTACTGTTCTCAGGTGGAGGCAGGGGCTGGGAGTCTAGAATGTCAGGGAGATTGCCAAATGGTTTCGGTATCTTCATCGTCATCCGATGTCCCCTCTGAGTGCGGCGGGTGCTGTGGGTGCTCTTCCGAAGCTGACGATGAGCAGACCGATTTCCCTCACAATGAGCCCCCTCCACCAAAAATCAAAGCCATACAGATGGAGTTGGCGCCCCCATCAACGCACCAAGGAGTTGCACTGACAAACGAATTCCGACGTCGAGTGCATTCCGCGGGTGAGCGAAATTTCCTTTGCGATCGAGAGTAGCTTGGACGGGGCAGCGGAAATCCAGCGAAATATCATCCGTTGCATTCGATGATTCCACAGGTAATCGTTCAAACCCTGGTTGTTCAGAGCAAGGCAGAAAACGACGCCGGCGTTGCTGCCCGATTGTGAATCCTGTCTTGGGGTCGCCATCAGTATCCGACTCACCCCCAGCGGGCATAAAACTTCACAAGGGGAGTTTCGGTTTCCCTCTGTAGACACCAAGCAGATCAGCTTGATGATTTCGGAGTCGACCTCGATTTAGGATAACGAGGATCACCCTGAGCCCCATGGAGCTCGTGTTTCGTTCCGAATCTCGACCGATCACAGACCGCGCCCACTCTGGATACGGAATCGGGGAGTCGGCGCACTGATGGCGATCGAGGAGTCGCCCGGGCATTGAACCTGGAACGGTCTTTGAGGATTTGGGGAGCCGGTTCTAAGACCGAGCTTATCGAGACTTCTCCGCGGGTAAGTCGGCACTCCCCTCTCCCTCGCCTGCGAAGTGAACCTGAAACGCTCCTAGGGCTGTGATGTGTATATGCCTAGTGTTCCCCTTGACTCGACATTGTACATACATACTTTAATTGTAAATAAATGACCGTTCCGCCCGAGATCAGGATGCTTCCGCTTGCTCCGCTCGAGTGATGGAAAATGAAGAGAGATCAGGTTGTTTCAGCGGAGTTTCCATCTACACCGCTCGGCGGCCTCTGATCGATGCTGTGATAAGGCCCGGACTGACGAAACTGGCGAAGGCTGACTCGGTGATACAAATCTCCCCGAATCATATGGCCTCCATCGAAGGTTCGGCAGGGGTCATGGGGGGGCGTCTCATCAGTCTGAAAATCATATGCCCTCCTCCCCCTTCCTTGTTTCCTATGTAAGAGAAGCTGGTGGGGACCGATGCGCCTACCCCCTTCCGTCATATTTCATTGGAACTCTGTCGCTCCGAACCTTAGAGGAAGTCCTGACGGCGCTGCGACACCTACACCGGATGAGATCAGCCCCATAAGAATATTATATCAGCCTCTCGGGATATCTGGGGTCTGTCGAGACGTTGCCGCTGAACCCTTGCAATACTCATTTTTCTGTTTATATTTACACGAGCCTGTGCCATTCCGGGCTCTCGATCATTCATCGACAATTTTTCTCCTCAACTAATCGCGAAATATTGCCAATCGTGAAGTAGCATCAATATTTTTATTTAAGTATTTTCTCCATTAACGCCACCACCTTCGCCGTGTTGTGTCGTTGTAGCGTTTGTCGTACTTCATTCTATTCCTCAAGTGATCCGATCCCGGAGATAGCTTGGAATACTGATCAGTACATATTCATCGAAAACTATGATATTGAAAAAAAGTTCCAGCTGGATATTGACTTGACGTGCGGTGAATATTATACCGCAGAACGCGCTCCGGGAGTACTCGTTTCGATAAATGAATATTTCGATTACTCTTGAGAATCCATTTCGATAGGCGTGATGAAAAAAGCGATAACCGACCATCTACGCGACGAGTCCCATATCTCTCCTGAGGGGCTGCTAACTGGTGGAGAGCGACGAGCGGCGTCAGTCAAAACAGGTGACATTCGGGCTTCCTCGGGAACTCACGTGAGCTGCGAAATCGATGGAGGAAGAGAATTCTTTCTCTCATGCGATCAAGTCTCCCGTGAATCCGTAGCGACCGTCGCGCTGGTCGGTTACTTAATTTTACGGGACTGGGCGTTGATAAAATGACGAAACGAGAGCGAGCCGCCCCGGCCCGATATCTTGTCACTTAGGTCCTCTCTCTTCAACGGAACGAGTATATTCTTCGATGACTTCGTCGCTTGCGCAACGAACACAGCCATTCAAGCACATACATACACACGCACACAGATAACGCCCGAATCAACGCGGAGCCTGTCATGCGAGAAAGCAGCGCAGAGGAACCGCGTCAAAGGGTCAGATAACATGGGGAGAATCCTAACATCAACAGGAAGTCGGAATGCATGAACTTGAAATCAACTATCCTTTCTCCGTATCACCCTTCGGTATCGAAAGCATTGCAACTAGTGCGATAAGATTCCATAACGCCTTTCCTTAACGATTCCGATATCGACAGCAATACCGCTAGAAGTGGAATAACGTCGATGATGACCATTACATCAGTCCTCAGTACAATATCAACCTTAGTAATACTTGGTACAACGCTACTGGATACCTGAAAACCGAGTGCAGGTAGGGGTACTTTAGGTAGTGGTGTTGTCGATCATAATACGCCGTAACGGGTCTCCTTAACCAACCGCGCAGAGAAAAAAAAACAGTGAGTAACATCCATCTGAACGACTAGAAGAAATAATCTTTGGGAACAATCGGAGTAGCGCCCCTTTGCAGGGGCGATCTCCGCGGGATTTCGCGTCGTCCGTTCTCTCAACGTACTCGGAGTTTATAACTAGAAGAGACTCTTAAAAACACGAGGCAATTATGCCGAAATCTTAATTGACTCAGCCAGCGACCGTCGCGCCGGCGATAGAGAGAGGCTCGATGCCTCTACAAAAATGCCAAGTATTCGAAACGCATCGGAATAAGTCCGGAAATTCAAATAATTTCGTGCGCGTGAATTCAGGGACTCTTGGATATCGTTGGGGGTAACACTGGATGATACCTCCTTGGGTGAGGGGTCCTCAAATGTAGAGATCGACATCGCTCCAGAACAACTGCCTCAACTCGCAACCTGTGCTCAAAAGTCGCATGAAGCGATCGGCAAGCTTCCGATCGGCGGCTTCGTCCTCGACCAAAGTGTGGTCCAGAGGAGCTGGACGACATCGATCCCTAGACGATGAAATGCTCAGAAGTAGCCAAGCATAATTTCTGCTGGGAACATATCGATTTAGATGGTTTCGTGAAATATTCGATTGCGATCCATCCGTTTCCTATGAGCTCGACTGCTCTCAATTCAACTAGATCATTGGTGTTACGCGACGAGTGCGGACTGGACTACATCTCATTCAGATTGCCTCCTCCAGTTCCCTCTGAATGTCAGCCGACAACCCCCGCCGAATATCACTTATTTCTTTAGTGTATAATGTTTTAACAGTAGATGCACTTTCTTAGCGCCATAAGTGAAAAAGGTTCTGTTGCTCGCACAACGTGAACACTGGAAACTGCGACGTCTCAGCAGGACGCTGCTTTTCGACTGCTTGGTCTTCCTCAGTACCTTCGCCCTTTCCGGCTTGCCGACCCTCGCAACTTTGGTATCCTTCAGTTTATGAATGGTTGACAAAATTATGGAAGCTGTCTTCGCGTCCAGCGATCGCTGTTCGGTGAGATTTTTGTAGACGTCTGTGAGCAGCTTCTCCAAGAAGCCGCTCGGGTTGCTCGCCAGGAATTGTGGCAAGTGGGTGTATTGATCGGAGAGCGGCGCTGTCGATGGACAGACGCGACCGTAGAACTCCGGGAAGAATTCGAGGAACGCCTGGAGGGGGCGAGACGAAAATGAAGTGAGGAGGACGAGTCGACTCATTGCTCATATTCGCTCGACTGAGTCAACAACGGAATCCGATTATACACGACCGTATACGATCTTACCTTGCGGCAAACGTTGCACTCGAGAGGCTTCAGGTGATGAAGCTCAGTGATGTGGTCCATCAACTCATCCGCTCTATTAACTATGAGGCCACAATGCAGACACTGTGAACAATGTCCCCCTCTCTGACCGTGTAGATTGGCGACGTGGCGCGTCAATTCCGGATCGAAAGGTGTTGAGAAACCACACGGGGCGCCTCGAGGTCCGCCATCGTTCGCGTGGCAGCGAGCAAGTTGGCCCGAATGTATACGCATGTGATCCATGATGGTGCCTTGAGTGAAACACCTTGGGAGAATCGTACGTTCCCGTTAAGTTTGGAACGACCCCGTCAAGTTTGCACCGACCCCGTCCCGATTGGACGATAATCTCGACTTCCAATGACCGTCTCAGGACCCTGAACTCACTTGAAGCCGCAGATCGTACACTGATAAGGGAATGCGGGGCTGAACTCATTCGAATCGTTGCTGATGTTTCCGACTGGGGCTCCAGAATGCTTCGTCTCCAAATGGTATTTGAGGGATAATTTGTCGGCAAAACTCAGAATGCACCAGCGACAGTGGAAGATGGTCTCGCCCTCGTCAACATCCCGGTCGTCGACCATCATCAAGCTATCGTCTTTTTCGACGAATTCGGTGGTAATCTCAGTCGAGTCGTCGTCAAGAGGTGTAGGACTTTCACCCGATCCGCTAGCTCCACCACTCCCTGTTGCACTGCCGGCGGAGCTTGCGGGACGAGGTCGTGTGTATTGGTTCGTTGATCGGCTGCGAAGAAAATTCAAAACTTATTTTCAACTATGTCCTCCTGCTGGCTCGGACTCCCGACCGCATCGGATCGCGTCTTAATCGAATCATGCGCCCCAATGAGACGAAGTATAGGGAAGAGCAAGAGAAAAAACTCACTGTTCAGTTCTGACGTGATTGTCCAGAGCTGTTGCATCAATGAAACTGAGATCACATTTCGCGCAGAGATGTTTACCGTGAACTCGGAGCACATGCGCACCTAGACGCTCAGAGCGGGCAGCCCTGTAGTCACAAAACTGACAGCGGAATGGTTTGAGATGCGTGTTGAAGTGGCGCCGCAGGCCCCAGCCGTCTACTCCTTTCCATGAGCAAAGCTCGCAAGCATACTCCTTCACTTGACTGGGGTCCAAAACGGCAGAATCTCTCTTCTTCGGGGAGTTAGACGGGGCTGGATCACATGGAGACGACGAAGACGGAACTTTCTTCGTCGACGAGGGACTGGACGACCTCGAGCGCAGACGAACCAGAGCAGCGGAGTCCGAAGTTTTCTCCGTGGACGACTCTACGGGTTGCTTCGTAGAGTCAGCTGATTGCGGAGAGCCTCGCAACTCCTTCTTTTTCAGTCTGTAAACGCAATTCCTACGTTACCTTTCTTCCCTCTCCACAAACCCATCGTCAAGATAACCGTCGGACGAACGAATACGACTAGATCATGCCGTACCTGTTCTGGTTTTCTCTGACAGTTTTCGCTCCGGGTGTCACGCCGTCCTGGATTTTGAGCTCCACGGCTTTCTGTCTGATTGTTTTCGAGAGGGAAGATCGAACATGCCGTTCCATTACGCGGTCTGACGCCGTGTTCTTCGCGAGACAGACTACGGGAGACTCTGGGGTCTCAACAAGCACTTTGCTTGTCGACGTTGAAGAATCAGCTTTCCGTTTGATAGTCGCGAAAGACTTCGACAGAGGTGGTGTTGCCGGTGGCGGTGATATCCCTCTCAGCGGATTGATCGTCTCTTCATTCGCTGGAGTGATTGGGCCTATCGGGACAACAACATCGGTGCCCGCCGTCGGAGCAACGAGCGCGCCTATCGATAGGCTCACTGCAACGAGTCCATCGTCAAGATCAGCATGAGAGCGACAGAGATCCCTCAGGGAATAATGTGCGGCTCGGGCAAGTAAATCCTCGCGAGCCGCAAGCTACGGAGGTGGAAGAAATTTAACTCACCATTCACCGGACTGGGTTGCGCCTGCTGTTGTGGCACGGCAGAAGACTGCTTGTGACCCTGGATGGTCTGGGCGGCTTGTTGAGCCAAGGCTAACGCAAAGGGCGCGCTGAGACCGTTCGTTGGCTCCGGGCAAGCCAAAGACAAGGCTGTAGCGGGCACAACGCTGCTCGCAGCATTGCCACCTAGGCTCCCACCCATGTTGGCGGTCTGTCTCCGAATCAACGCAACATCATAGGGCCGACCCTGTAAAAGTAGAACACTCATTCCCTGTGAGGAGAGTCGGTCTTCCGTCGATTATCGCGAAGCTCTCCATTCGAAGTGAAAATACCTTGTGAATTCGCAGAAAGTGCTTCTTGACGTGATCCGCCCGATTGAACAACTTATGGCAGACGTAGCAATGGAACGGCTTGTCTTCTTTGTGGATATTTTCATGTCGATTATAGAGATCGCGTCTATCGGTCGAGTAAGCGCATCGTTCACAGGTATATCTGCAGAAGAGAGCGATGGAGTCACTTCCGAGTCCAGAGGATACTCGACGACGGCTTCGATTCCTCGAAAGTAACCTCGCGATCAAGCTTGTCCAGCTACTCTTGAGCGCGGACTTTCCGAGACGTCTAATCCAAACGCGGATCATGTTCCAAACGACTCGATCTCACCTTTTCTTGACCATCCCTCCGTTTGCCGCTGGGGGATTATTGCTGACCTTGGATTTGCCCGTTTGACTTTTGTTCGGGAGCGGGAGCAGCGGAATCTGGTTCGCTAGCGTTTGAACCATACCCATGCTGCCGACGAGCGCCCTTGGAGAGGACTGGATGCTCACGAAGGTCTTCGTATCGTTTAGGAGTTTCGTCGTTTCAGCAAGCAGAGGATGAGCTGACGCCCACAGCTCCGGGGGTATTTCGGTCAGACCATGCTGCTTGGTGAGATGCATACGCACGCACCTGTTGGAGTGCGCACCGACTGAGCTCATCCGATTCGAATCTGTATCTCAGGCGAAAATTCAAAGAGGCGAATATCATGAACGGGACTTACCTCGCCAAAGTCGATGTGTAGGGACAATTTGGGCATTTGAAAATTTGGGATGAAGTATCGACGTGAGAGGCGAGATAGTGTTCTGCCAATCTCTGAACGTTGCCAGTCACTCCACAATATATGCATTTGAATAGATTTAACGCTGGACTGAACTTGGCAACTTTCGAGCCGTCGACTGAAAGGTGACCTGGACCTATGCGGTTTCGGACGTTCGGGAGAAGGTGGACACGAGTTAGAGAAGAGTTCTATGCATGCCGGACAGCTGCCTTCATAAACTCAAATAGACGGAGTCGATATCGAGTATATGTGACGATTGACGTCGACGGATGTTGACGACGCGTTCGGTCTTACCCACCTTCGAAAAATCCGTGATCTGGCTCTGCCTCCTTCGTTTCCTTCGTCTGCAGTAAACTACTTTCGAATAACTGCCTCAGCCGGTCCGAGTTGTAACCTATCCCTTGCAGGGCTGCGGTAGCCACAACAAGGTTCAATTTCGATGCGTCCATAACGGGAACGAGACGCCAGTGTGGATTATCGCCACTTGACCTAGCTCAGGTGTTCTTGGAGAAATTTGCGTTCGACAATATACCTCGCCGTTCTTCGTTCACAGTCTCTCGGGAAGGACCCGATTTGATGCCCACACCAATTATACTAGTTTCAATTTGGCTAAACAATTTCAACAATGTACTAGAGCGGGCACCTTGGTCAAGTCATCGTGTTCTGCAAGGGAGAAGGAAGCAATAATTAGACCACGCACGACCAGTTCCAGGATCCCGATAGCGCGTCGTCTGCTCTCCTCGGGATCTTTTGTTGATTATGTAATACCATAACGATGATTTCACGACATCAATCATTTCGCTCGGAGCTTCAATTTTTTCGCCTGTCTTTGAGAAACAAGCTCTTGGGAATCCTCTGAATCTCCGCATGAGCTCAATGCCCCTGTCTGACTCCTGACTCCTCTTTGACGCCTTTCTTCGACTAATTTCGACTAAGCCCACAGTTCACCGCCGCCCTTACAGTTCATGACGTGTGACCATCTACGATGTCTCGACTGATCCATTTCATTTCTCTTGCCGGGCTTGATATTCGATAACATTGGGAGCATGTCAAAATCGGGAGGGATGCACCGAAGATAGGCATGTCGCAAACCCACGAGACGTGCGGAGAAAGTAGGGCATCGCTGGACGGAGCGGTCAACCGAGTACGCTGAGTGATAGAAAGCACTGAGCGGAACCACCCATGAACGCATGCCGCGCCCTCTACACCCTTTGTGAGAACAGGAGGTGTATGGAAGTCCTTGTCTCCCGGGAGGACGCAAGTTTGGCTCTCGCTTGTTTGTAGGACTTCTGTTGAATTCACGGACGAGCGGGGAATGCTCGACTTGGAGCAATCACGGGTCCCAGGCATCCGTTATGGTCCTCGTTCGAACGATGGGGTGACTTCGACTCGAATCCAAGACACTCAGGCTCCCTGGAACCGGGAACTGGGTATCCCAACCTCGAACAAAATCAGACCGTATCATATTTTCCGTGACGAAGTAATCTCGACTGCCCCCAGGAGTTTTCTCGCCGTCGACAGAATGCAACGCGTACCTCCGAACATTCTCCTTGAAACGTAGATCTCGCTCCCGAAACTTGTGGGAGGCCTTTGGAATGAGACCTTCTTTCTTGATCTTCCGCGGCGTCGCATCGGTCGCGAGCAGGCCTCTCGTGAGGTTATCTTCCCATCTTTTCTACGTTTGAGAAATTCGCAATCTCCAGGTCTGGGAAGACCCGATCGGTCTTTGATTGAAGCGGCGTCAATCTCAACGAAATGTCGATCAACTTATATCAACTTCTACTGCCGGCGATTCTTTCCTCAAGTTCCTGTTTGAGTATTGGTCGATCCAGGCATCGCTTTTCTGATCTTCTGGCTCTATGCTTTCCGAGTTCTATCCCGCGCGTCGAGTTTCCTCGGAGCTCGAATCATTCGCAGTCACGTATTTCACCATGGGGAAACCCTTGGCGTCATGCGGAAATGTACAGGCTCGACCATGGGTCAGGTCAAACTACCCCCTAAGACCAGACAAGAGTCTAAACTTCTTCGGTGTACAAAAACTCTCGGCCCGGACCCTGAAGGATTGCCTTGTGCGATCGAGGGGCTCCCCTTTCTAGGAATGTAACGACGTAGAGATGAACTCCACCAGGGATTTGGGGAGCGGTCCACGAGTCCCGGCTCAGAAGGCGCTCTCTAAGGCGATTCAGCGTGTTGCTCCGTCAGTCAGACGAGTGTTTGCGTGACGCGGTTCTTGAGTGATCGCGGGTCTCCAGAACTTTCGTAATTCGTCGAGCTATGAATCTATACATCTCAACATCAGTCATCTAGACCTTAGAACGTGATGACATTTTGCCCAGATGGGGGCTGAATCTTGGACGAGAAATCTGTACCGAATGCACTCGGGGCGATCCGCCTAACGCTCCCATTCAGAAGAATGGGCTCGGTGCGATTGCTACGGAAGAGATGCGGCTCGATCAATGTTTACGCGCGATGACTCCCTTCATCTTCTGTCTTCACGATGGTGATTCCGTGTGGCGCGCAAACCTCAAGGCCGAAAGCATCTAGATGGAGGAGGTGGTCTTCAGAAAACGCTCCCAGCATCGCTCGCAGACAGCACAGCTTCTCGATAAGCCTTTCGATACTCGTGTTTTCTCTCCGCGGTGCGATTCACGTGCTCCATTCCCTCTGTTGCCCTCCGAGCGAGTGGAGCGCGGATTCTGAATTGATCAGCGCTTCGTCAGGATCCTTGCATCAGATAACTTTCGGGCTCTCTCAATCAGGGAGCCGAAGTTCTGAGTTCCTATGACCGGCTCTGGCCCCATCGTGACTGAGGCTCTGAGGCTGATGAGGTTTGTGATGTCGTTTCAGAAGCCGTTTGGCCTTCGTTCCTCCTCAGTCTTGGCAATGAAGATGGCATCAGGAGAGCGGGAAAGCCAATGATTTCCTTGATATTCTGCCGCGTAATATTTTGTGGTTTTCCTCTCCAGAGATTCGACTCAACGTCCGATTGTTGTCTCCCCAAAATAGGGCATCCACGATTTCACCGATCAGATTCTGACGGGGACTCATTCACTTTCAGTAGCCTATAGCGATGCTCCTCTAATACCGCCCGCTTCATTAACGTCAGACTAGAACTGGTGAGTTCGAAGCCGGACCGGCATGCGTGCCCGGGAGTTCAGACCCTGCGAGTTGTCATGTGTCCAACCCGCCTCACGATGGCTGTAGATGCGCGGGACAATCTTATCATTCACGAAAGACTCTCCCGAGACTCTCATTAATAAGATACCAAGGATCCTCTCGCTCCACCGTGACGTCCTCCTTCCGTTGAGATTTGAGCCATCCGCGAAATCCGTTGCGGCGACCGGAAGGACGAGAATGTTGAGCATATTTTTCGTCTCGCTTCATGCCCTGCAGTAGTAATAGCGATCACACCATCAGCAGTCTCCGCTTGACGTTCCAGGGGAGATCCGTATAGCGGACGGCAAGACGATCGACGGTGTCCGTCGTACGTAGTAATCGCAGTGTCGGTGGTAAAGCGATCGCTGTTCACTGCGCTGGCTGGCGGGCTCGCTCGCTCGCTATATCGTTGGCTGCTGCTGCTGCCGCTATCTCTCCAATCGCAGCTACGTCGGGAGGCGGTGTCTTGCTCACAGCGCTGAGTAAGTCAAACTTGCTCGACTGGCTCTCTCAGGCGGACATTCCACCATCGGAGCTCAACGCGTCGGATAACAGAGAAAAGCTAATTGCCACGACATGGCTTGTCATTCATCCGTTCACAGTCACCCAGCATAAGGGTCGGTCGATTCCAGATCGATCGGGAATCTCTAAAGCACCGATCGATCGATCGGCAAGCCTCCCCGCGCACAATATCCGATCGGTGATGAGGTGGATTCCGCGCGGCAAGCCGTATTCGACTCCAGCTCTGACCGCTGGCGTCGAACGCGATGTCAACCGCAAGAAAACGGAATATCCCAGCGTGGCTACACGAGGAGTGCAGTTTCCAAGGATCGGAGCTCACGATGGAAACCGCAAAGTAGTCGTAGAGCGGGCGCTGCTGCCGTCGTCTCTGCTGGCGATTCCTGTGCCGCCGCCGCCGCCAACGTCGTCGCCACCACCGCTGCAGTGGCACGATGACGAAACGCATTTAGTAAAATCTGCCAGAGATCGGCTCTCATTTTGGGCAGTCACAACTGTGCTGAGAGCTCAGCTTGCACATCTGACACTGACGCTTGACTCGGATCCGGTCTCGATTTCTCGCGCGACGCCCATCATCGGAGCGTTTTCAATAATAAACTCAGAATGTACGTTTATGGCATCGGCCGGAGTCGGAATCGATCTTCTCGTTTGATAGCTCGGAGTTCCGGTCGAATTATTATTGATTCTCGATAACGTGCACGGCATCCCCATCGAGCGGACGATATGCGGCCACGGAAAATCCGAAAATTTCTTCTTCTGTTGTTTACTCACCGACGGCGCGCGCAGGCTTCCGCGCAACACACTCTCATACGAACACCCGGGACACGGGGAACCAGTAACACTATCCGAGCCGATGGATCGACCCTCTTGAGGGCTGGTAACCAGGCGATCAAGGATTCTGGCGAGAAGTCCTCCGAGTAGTAGCTCGAAGGCTGATGTTGTTGTTGTCGGTGCTGGATAGAGAGCCACTTCAACTCCGGAAGGAGCAACAACAGAAAGATCAGCACTCACTCCGATCCGTAGCTCGCTGGTCTCAGACAAGCGGCCCAGTCGTGGATCGGTGTATCGCCTGGGAGTTTGTTTGTCGTTTGCCTACTGTTGCTATTGCTGCTGCGGTTGCTCTGCGCCGACCGAGCGTCAAGGACTCCCCACCCGTCGACGTGACGTCAGCGTCAGTCGTCCGCACTCCCTCCCCTCCCGCGACGCCACGACACGAGAGTGCTCGCTTGCTCGCTCGCTCGTCCGCTTTCTTGCTCGCTGCATTCAAAAGCAGTATTGCTCACTCAATCACTCCTCCTCCATCTACTCTTAAACTCTTTCTATCGCTCGCTCGCCGTTTGCCATCGTCGTCCATCAGCCACGGCGACGACGGCCGCTGCGATCGACGATAACTGTTCGACATGTCACCAGTTCTAGACTATCTCGGCGTTCGATTTCGCTCCGGCTGGAGAGATCGACCGTTGTCCAGAGAGATCAGGGGATCGGTTTCGAATCTGAACACGGTTCTGGTTCGAATAGCCGAGATGGAACTCGGAGCTGATTCCCAGCTCACAACTTCTGCGCCTTTGCGCGAGAGACCTGCTGCGGAAGTGAACGTGTATCGCTCGGACGTCTGCCCACAGTCAAGCGTACATTTGAGCCGATGCGTTCGATTGTTTGTCCAGCTCAAGGCTCCGTCCGCAAGGAACGATTGCCAGACATTCTCGTCGTTTCCGTATGAGTCCGCTCCGGAGATAAGGATCGATGCGGCTCCCTCCAAGTACCCGTTCGCACT